TTTCCAATCTATCGATTATTTATTGTCTTATTTGTGTCATAACCATTTAACATTTACAGGCAAGAGGAAAAAAGAGACAGAAAGGATGGTTTCCTGCCAGCCATGTGAAATTATTGGGTCCAAGCAGTGAGAGAACAACATCTGCTGCTCCCTCAGGTGAAAAAACTCGCTTTGTTGGTATTTCACTTAGAATATTTTGTGCAAGTGTTCCATTTATTTAAACAGCAAGGTGAATTACATAACTGATTTACTTATGCTTAATGGCTGTACTTTATACTGGTGTCGTTGGGGAATGTGGAAGGCCTCGTCAGAATCTGAGCCTTTGGACAGACCCAACCGTTCAGATAATACCTAGGTCTGAGAAACATAAAACCCCACAGTGTCCTAATCAGAACAGCTCTTTCTGGGCTCCCGCACATGCCCTTTATTGTGCCTCATGGCAGAAAGCCTCAGGCATGCCAAGATGTTTGTGTTCAGAAATCAGTGAGGATTCAGAAATCTGTGAGGATCAGCAGTCCCTCTCCTCTGGCAAGAACCTTTTAATTTTGCTGAATGGGTCTTTAGGAGCCTGAGCTTTTCTGTGAGCTCCTTGTTTCCAGGCTCAGCAAAAGTCCTGTGCGAATCACTAGCAGTCACTCACAGTCACTGCAAACCTGCACAGGGAGAGCAGTTTCACATCAGCTAAGATCATCTGGTTACCTCCTTTTGTAACAGTGTCTGGGAACTGTTTCTTTTCTATGGTTGTGTTAAATACTCAAAAATAACCTTAATACTTCTGCAAAAGTAGTATTTCTGCTCTTTTTTTTTTCTTTGCAGTATGTCAAGTCATAGCAATGTATGATTACCTGGCAAACAATGAAGATGAGCTCAGCTTCTCCAAAGGGCAACTTATTAATGTGCTGAACAAAGATGATGCTGACTGGTGGCAAGGAGAAATCAATGGTGTGACGGGTCTCTTTCCGTCAAACTACGTCAAGATGACCACAGACTCTGATCCAAGTCAGCAGTGTAAGAAACGATTTTTTTAAAAGCATTTTATTACTGTATGTCAGAGGTGTATTGCTGTTCCTCTGCTTTGTGTTCGGAGTCTCAAGTCTCGGGTGAATTTCCTGGTACTTCATATGTTCACTTTTCTATTTAATCTACAAAGAAAACCCAGCACTTTAACAAGCAGCCAGTGTGTAATAGCAGGGTCCTAGAGTGAGGTAAAATACTAGATTCAGTGGATTCAGTCACCTTCCTTTAAAGATGTTGGTATTTGATAACCTTTGATACCTCTCAGTCTGTGCAGGCCTGCTGTGCTGTAGTATGGTTATTTTGTCTTGCCTAGGTTTCATAAAAAGTGAAAGAAGTCTGAAATTTAGAATCATAGAATCATAATGGTTGGAAAAGACCTATAAGATCATCGAGTCCAACCATGTTCTCCCCAGCTGAAAGTGTTTCTCAGTTCAGTAGGGATGGCTACGAGAAGGACAGGAAGGCTCTAGCATTAGCAAGTGGTCTAGCCCGTGGTAACTGTGTGTGTCCTGGCTCCCAGCCGATCCTGTGCTCATACAATGTTGAGGAACCTGGTGTGCACCAAAGCTTGTAACAAACTGAAGAGTCATCAGGAGCAGCCTGAGAACTGGAGGCTGGAAGAGATGCCTGTCTGAAGGTCGGAAGTTTCTCGGCCTTTTTCTTGCACATAAGCAGCATGAAGGTTTCCGCTTTTCCCCCTCCTCAGTAACAGTTTTGGCGCCTCAGAGCAGAGTTTCCATTCCCTCAGATTTTCATCCTGGGGCACTGTGATTCAATCTCAACCTGTGAGGCTGCAGGGGTTGGCAATGTACCTTCATGCAAAAGTTTCTCCATTTATATAACAAGCCCTGCCCTGGCTATTATTTCTCCTGGGCAGCAGCTGTTGTATCAAATGACATTTTGTCATTTGTGTTCTGGCATTTTGAGCTGTCTCAGTAGAAAGAAAAGAATCCAAAAGTCTGGTTGAGCCTGGCCTGTAACATCCTGTACAACAGGGCTCTTGCACGACCCAAGACTTGGTCAGCGTAGTTATATTGTTAGAACAGTATTGGCAGACTTGCCAAAGAAGATACTGCTTAGGCTGGGAAAATTAAGTGTTTTGCCTGGGTAGCTCCTTACAGTACATGCCTAAATTATGGTATGCACCATCCCTGAGACTTTCTTTTCAATTAATCTACGTCTGTGTTAATGTTTTTCGTAACGCTATTTTTTTTAATGCTTCTGGCCACCGGGGCTATGTCAAAACACCTGTATTTAGATCAAACTTAAAATTCTTTAAATTGGGCATATCTGCATCATTAAAATATTTAGAAAGTGCTTTTTGGTTAGATACAGTGTCGATTTTGAAGGGCATATGCAAAATCAAGCCAGGCTATGCGAGTAAGATTGCGATTGGTTTTGAGTGCCAAAACTCTAAATTTTCTAGAGCGATACAAACATTAGCTGATCAACCCAGGCATGTGTCCATTGAGGGTTACGTAGCTGGCTGTGGTAAGTGGGAGCTGTTTACACATGCCATTACCTTTCAACAAAAGCAAGGCGAAGATCAGGTTGTAACTGGAAGCATCCGACGTGACGATTAAGCTTCTCTCTTTCGTTGATGTGTCATTAGGCTGTCCTGTTCCCACATTTCAGTGTCGCTGAGTAAAAATAGTTATTTTCCAGTCAAATTGTGGCTGTGTCGACAAAATTCTTCCCGGAAAGCGCATCGACAAGGTCAGCCAGTGGCAGTCAGCAAAGAGCAGACCAGACGTGCTGCACGTCATCCCGACGTGATCGTTACGCTCGAGGCTGTTAAGAAGCTGTTTTCTGCAAAGCAGATCTACTTAATTAGGAGACTTCACCTAAGGGGGGAAGAACAGATTGAAAAAAACTTCCAAAATCCCGAGTGTTTCAGATGAGCTACCTTGTTTATCAGCTCTGTGCTAGCATTTGTCAGTCTCGTGTGACACAAAAGGCATTTGCATGTGGAAACTTCAGGCAAAAGCAGCACCGCTCTGTGCAGAGGCAGCTCCGTGCGCCGCCAGCAGCGGCACCGGGTTCTGGGACAGCTCCGTGGGCTGCGCCGCTTCCACGCGGTGGGAAGAGCCTTGAAGCTGTTCTTCATAACTAAAGAAACATGGAAGTGCGTGTTAATTGAACCTTCAGCCTGCCTTTGATTTCTTCAGAATGCTTTTGCCCTTTTTTAAACATAACACAGAAATGATCACACGTGCTCTGGAGAAATCACTAAGGAATTGTCCCACACAAAGGTTGCTGTGGCCTTCTAGAGACCAGCTTTGAGATAGGACAGAAATGGTGCTTAAAATGTTATATTTCAAGGAATTGTTAATCTGAGTATTATAATGTTTCTGCTGAAGATTGTGTCCTGGCCTGCCACATGTAATGGCATTTGGCAGGCAGAGGGCAGGTGGTGTTTATTCAAACAGATACAGCTTATGAAAATTCTGCTTTTCCCTGGAATTTAAATTCTGTTAAATGGACTGCCTGTGTACCCCGAATCTTTCCTGGGGTTTGCTAGTGACAGCTGTAATGGCAAACTTCCCTAGCAAAGATATAATCTATATCACCAAGATGATTCTCACGTTGCTTGTGAGCAATGAACAAACTAAGCTGTGCTGACAAGAAAGGCGATTCTTGGGGGTGCTGGTGGAGTTGCATTCTTGGCATAGGGTCTTTGCAAGAAGAAACCTGTGAGAGCTTTTACAGTTGGACTTCTAAATGCAACCCAAATCTTGGTGACCTTCAGAACGCGGTACCCGAGTCGTGCACTCAGCAGTGGTAGTGGTGGGTAGTGTTACTCATGTCGTGACATCATTTTAGTGGCCCTCACTCTGAGGTTGGCACAAAAATCATCTTGGCCTGCACAAAGAATAAGTTTTGCATGAGGTTTTAAAATATATACTATATTTCTAGCATTATAGACTTAAATTGAAGGGATAGGAGCAGTCGGCTGTTCTTTTCCTTGCTCGGCAATCCAAGGTCAGCTCTGGGGTGTGTTCACAGTGTCTGCTAGGCATCCTGTGGGCTGTCACTCAGCTCTCGTCAGGGAATGTGCCTGGGGTCCGCGGGCTTACTCAGCACCAGGAGCTCTTCCTGGTGGCCAGTCATCTGAGCCATCTTCCTCTGCCTTAAACATGTGCCCTTAGAACCTTCCCTCACCTTGTTTGTTGGCTTTTCTGAGCAAGAGAGCTGCTTTTTTTTCCAGGCTTTTATCCAAAGCCTGAGCCTTTCCCTGGTGTTTTCTTTAGCTGAGGTTTTCCCTCGTGCACACATATCTACCTCAGGTGGAGGCCTCCCAAGGTGATAGAGTTGCTGCAGCTCCCGCTGCGTACTCAGTTGCTTTGTGCTGGGGGTCCCCTCATCTCATAAATGCCCTTCCAAGAGCTGACAAGTCGCCCAGCTGGACTCACCTCTAGGTGATGTCCTGCTATCTGAGCTACCTGTCTCCCTCCATGTGGCTGCTCTTTCGTCGAGCTCAAGGATTGCACAGCCCGTTCTGACCCGCCGCGTGCGCTTTGTTCCTCTTCCTGAGGGTCCTCAGGCACCTCAGTTCCTCCTCCTGCAGCACAGATGCACCTGCAGGTAGTCTCCATGCGCTGAGGGGCTCCTTCGCTCCCCTGTGTCAAGCTGCCTGCTGCGCCCTCCATTTCTCTGTGCAGATGGCCCAAGACAACAGATGCACCTGCAGGTAGTCTCCATGCCTGAGGGGCTCCTTCGCTCCCCTCTGTCAAGCTGCCTGCTGCGCCCTCCATCTCTCTGTGCAGATGGCCCAAGACAGGGACGGTTGGTCAGACTGGAAGCCCTGGGAATAGATCCTCTCTCCCTAGACTGTTCTCTATAGATACGGCAAAGCCATAACTTCCATAGGTACAAACTGGATGTTTACAGTGAAGTGCACCTCAGTCACCAGGTCTGCCTATACCTGTTTTCCCTTCCAGAAGGTAGCGCAGACACGAGGCAAGTTCTATCCTCATGCATGTAACATGGAACTACATTTTCAAAAGCTTCTTTGGCTCTTCATCTCCATGCACAGAAGGTTGTAACCATGGGAGTTCCTGTCTAATTAGTGAAGCCGACCCATTCCCAAGGGAGCCTCTTGCTCCTTTGGGAACGGCTGAGAAGTGCCCGAGAGCTGAAGAGCTCCGGACGGAGGGAGCTTTCCGGGATCATCGGCACCTCTCACAGCTGCTTTCT